TTGGATCGCAGAGAGACACGGGATTGGCTGAGGCCAGGTGGTCCAACATGTCTGCGCCCTAATCCGACGCCACACACACCGGTCATCTTCAGTCCGTCGCAGAATTTCCTATTAGAGCGATAACCTGTCGGCATTCCAGTCACGTCACATCAGTTAATGTTTTTTTTCCCAAAAACCCACATTTAATTTAGACTCTGAGGGCATTTTGTCTGTAGGAACCGTCAGTTAGTTTGCTTGTCTTCGACTAGCAAATGCTTATGCAAACCATGTTGATGACAAACACGTGGGTTTATATCTCGCTAAGAGATTCTGTTATGATGTTAGTTTATTTTAATTTGATGGGAAATCAATGGGCCTTGTCTGATGTGAAAGGAGTTATTTGTGTGTTTATTCTACTAGGAAAACGTGGCATGTAAATGATCCGGCGGATTTTATTGGGTTCACTCCTACTTCCTCTTTACTTCATTTCGAGGGACTTTCTATTCCCTTTTCTATTCAGCTAAGACTCGTGGTAGCGCCTAGCGGAAATGTTTACTAGGTATACAAAATCTCGTGTAATTGTAGCTTTTGCAGAAGAGACTAAGTCATTGATCGCATTTTTTTGACTCTTTAATTTGTTTCAGTACTCTTTCGACATTACGAAACCGTTTATTTGCCTAAAACCTTCCAAACTCGGCATCGGACCTTTCTTTGGTTTGAAGCAAAGACTACATGTGTTATAATTTTCAGCCTTTTCGTCTGTAATTCCAAAAAAAACATATTGGGGTAATTTATCGTGCTCCTGGTTATAACAGTAAACAAAGTTTGCCTTGAGACCAAGGAGGCCACCGTTAGTCGTTGCCATCCGTGAACTGTTCGGTTTTAGTTAAATTTACTGATCTTTCCAATGATCCCTTCCCTTGCTGCAGCAATTTGCTAATTGCGTCAGTCACCGACATCTGTTAATCTATTTCCTGGGCAGTATGGCTTTCTAGCTTTTAGAAGCTGTGTGTGGCCGGTTATGCGGTCCTACGACCCTCCTTCAATGCACCTATTTTTATATTTCCTCAAATTTCCAATTCAGTTTTCTAGCCAAAGGATTTTTACCTTGCCATTCGTTGTCCTGTTTATATTTGTATGTCAATACGTCAAAAATTGATGTTTTCTCAGTCTCTAAATTGGCCTCATCGACTACTGTGGGGCGTTGCTTTCATTCGTGGACGAATGAAAGGAATCAGTTAGCTGGCCCCTTGATTAGTTGGTCTTGTTGTGGAATTTGGGGAACCTATCGTCAAGTCGCCGTCACAAAATGTTGTGGGCCCCTGCATGTGGTTATGAAACACACCGGAGCCGCTTAGTTAACTCTGGCCCGATTACGTTTCCCCGCTACCCACGATGAAGAAAAAGAACGAAGAGGACGTTGACACAACCGTTTACTTCAGAGCTCAATCACGTTGGTGTCGTTGTGTCGTGTGTGGGATTTGCGCGTGTGTATTTATACCTCTGGTGTTTGAGTCATACGGGCGCTAAAGTCGAGACCTAGGTGTGAGGATAATCCAGTATAAGTCTTCGTGCTAGTGAGGGAGGATTTGGGGCTCCGCGCGGCTGGCAACATGCTACGAAAAGGGGAACCCTGTGTCGGAGGTGGAGCGACCGGGTTAAATGGTATGTATAAACACGACTCAGTAGATGTGTTGGTGTTTGTAATTTTCAAATGTTAAAGGCCAGCCGTGCTGTACCTTGGATACAAATGCTCGGCCATTGAATAATATTAACATAAGCAGGCGAATCTTTTCCGTGGGTTTTATAATACTACTAACTATACTTTAGCAAGTCTTGACTTAAGGTTGTAAGTAACTGCTAACATTTACATACTCTCGTATTTGTCGAATGAAGGTTGCCACGATCCCAGAAATTGTCTTTGGGCTTGTGAATTGACATGTGCATTGCTCTGACCGGCCTTTAAACTACTGGGTGCTTAGAAGGCGACCTCATTTGGAAAACACTTGTACGTTTCGATGAACATAATTGCAGAAATTGACTTAAATCATCTAAATTGGGTTAGCGATGGTTCGAAAATGCAGCGAAACCATATGCGTGAATTTCTGTCCATTCGGATGTCATCTTCTGATTGGTCCCTTCGTTCTAGACTTGTGCATTGCTGTCTATCATCTTTCGGTGTTGGCCCAATGAGTCCGATATTTACCGTCCTCTCACATCGAAGCAACAGCCGCTCTTTTCTGAGTGTCGCAATCCCAGGAGTCATTGCCTTCTGGCCTTCCATATTTCCTTGGGCACTTGACTTCACAGCCAACTCTTTTCTCTTATTAAACTCGCCACAGTTCTGCCGTCAGTGATTCCCTGTCTCATGAATGTCATTTGCTATGTTTCCTATGTTATTGCAGAGTGATTTATTAATCAACGCGAACTCCATTCTGTGGTTTTAATGAAAATGCCTTTTCATCATAATCGATAGCGGTTATTTCGCTCATTTGAACAGTCATGTTTTCCAAATATAACTTAATAACCAGCCTTAACGACTTAGTTGATATAAGTACGAATGTAATATTATGTAATTTTTTAGCGATGTTGGCACATCGGACGAGTTCGTCGTTTGTGCTGGGCGTGACGCGTCTTCAGGCTTTCTTGCCATGCCCACTAGCCAGACTCAGCACCACGCAGAAGGACAGCGGTGTCGTTCTCAACGAGTCCGACCTGGAGGAGACATTCATCCACGGCTGGGGTCCCGGCGGTCAGGCGATCAACAAAACCGCCAATTGCGTCTTCCTCAAGCACCTTCCCACTGGCCTCAGTGTCAAGTGTCAGGTAGGCTTCTCTCAGGGTTCCCGTCTTCCCGGTTATGTGAACACCGTCCGACCGGTGTGCATCATAATGGAATATGTAGAACAGTCAACCGCTGTTCTTCAGTCCCCAGAACTCGACACCTAACCAGAACATAGAGTGCAACCGTCAGGACAATTGGCGTATTTATTGAAATCTTGTTGACTGAGCTGTGTGTGTGTATGGTAGTGGGATAAACTCCTGGGCTAAACTTGCATCACGAGTATTCCACTCATTGACCCAAATATGGCGCAATCGTTAGAAAGTCTAGTAATGGTTTCTCCGCTATTTCTGCCAGACGAGAGAGTGCGTTATTTGTGAGGACCAATGGAAGGTGAGGCGAAGTCACGGGTACCAATGGTCTTCAAGTAAGCCTTTTGGGGATGCATTAACTGCTCACCACAAATTAACTGCCACCCTGTGCTGGTGTAAGGCTTCTCGTTCCGGTCCTTCATTGACAGACGCAATTCCAATAATTCAACACCCGTGTTTAAAGGAATCAATTAATGTCTGAACTTGTGGTTTTGAATTACATGCTGAGGCTGCTGCGTTAAATTCGGTCTAATTACGCCTCACTGGTGCCCGCGAAAACGAAGAAGATCAGAGATGGCAGGGACTCAGCTGTTTGCCCCTTGTTATGCGACGTTTGTGCGTGTGTATTTATAGCTCAGATGCCTTAGTCATTGATATTCTAACATTGGAGCTTAGCAGGGAATGTGTTATTACACGTAGTGGTGTGTTTAGGTGCCCCATAGCTGATAGCACGCTGTGAATTACCACGATTCATAGGACATTATTTCAAGTTGTTACCTGCACACGCACACACACACACCTCAGTATTTGTAGGGTTGGTTCTAGTGCCGTCACCCGCAAGCGTATTTGTGTATCGGACGAGGTGGTTTGTCCGTGTCAGCACACAGTCCTGTTGACGTTGTTGGAGCATTTAGTGGTGCTTGCCACTGTTCGCGGTTCCCTTTAGGATGGAAGGGACCTCCAGTTAAATAGGGCGATCGCCCGAAAACGCCTGCAACAGCGGCTGGATGAGTACTTCAAAGGAAGCGAGAGTGATATCGCGCGCAAGCGGAGAGAACTCCAGGCCAAAGAGAATAATCGCTACTCTCGAGCTAAACGGCGTCTTGAAATGAAGTCAGCTTTCAAAGAAGCCATCAGGTCGCGCAGCATTTTTCCTGATGGCGACAACATCAGCAAATGAAGATTAACTTATACTTTTGCATCCTTTTTTGGAAAGAATATTACTTACTATGTTCAATTTTTTTTGTCTCTCGGTGTCAGTTAGTGAACTTGGTCACCGTAATTTCCAGACTGTCTGACGCCGTAGCCATGATTTTAAATGTCACGGTAAAAGAAGGAACGAGTTACGCATCACCTTTTGCTATTTCAAGTGTTGAGGCAAAAGGGACGGGTGTTGACATGTCTTTGGGTAAGGTTAATCCGCGAATTCACCTTGATTGTCCTCTACATAAACAGTGGTTTTGCTGGAAAAGTGTGCGAGGTGTAATCAAGGTGTTTTTACTCCGTGAAAACGATTATTAAACTCGGAGTGTGGTTTCCACCCGGAGGTGTGAAGTCGAAATTTGATCATCACCGTAAGAAGTTCAAAAGGCCGGTAACTACTGACAGTGAATCTGGTCATTCGTTGTTGGTCGAATATCATGATCCTTTGAAAACCTTTGGAATAAGCTACAATAGTGGTCTGTGAGCACTTAACACAGCAAACTGATCTCCTGAACGTATTGCAGGAATAATCGTAACTATGCATGTCCAGATAGTAAATCTAACGATTATTAACTTTCCGAATAAGAGGGCAGATTAAAGGGTAGGTTTTCGGGCTTCGTTTGTAATAAATTAAAACGACCCACGAAAAGTTAAGAAGAGAAATTCGTATTTGTAGGAATGAATTTTGAGATGCTCATGACTTAGCTGCGAAGTAAATGAAACTAAGATCTATTACCTGTAATGACACGTGTCAAATCGATGCGGCAGTCTGCCATGCTTAATGTCCACTCTACTTTTCACTAAATGAAGGTTAAAAATTTCCATTCACTGACTGATAAAACTCGTTCCACCATGTCTCAATATACTTACTTAATTTATTTAGTTTTATTTGACGCAGTTATTTTGTCTCTGTTAAATTACTATTGACATTAAAAATTTCTCAAAATAAATAATAATTTAATTTTGAGAAAAAAACAGTTTCTTTGATCAGTAACAAACTGGTGCAAATTAATAATTTTAGGCTAGCAAATTTTATGCAAGTGCATCATTTCACTGTACATAAGGAGAAAAATATTAGTTGCGTAGAATTGTTCTTGTTATTTTAACCACAATTTTTGATTGTATATCACTGTATACATTTAATTATTTGAAACAGTGTGTGTCGAGTTTTACCTGCATGGCTTAGCAAACCGTTATGAAGGTGCAAAGGCGTATACCCTCACATTTTAATTATATTCAACCATTTTAAACCACGAAAACAATTTAGATGTCTTAAAGCACTAACTATTTGCTTAATATAAGAATGCAAAGAATTGTTGCTTCAGTATTTGTGTAAATCAATAGTTTAAAAAATGCATTAAACCTTGACATAAAATGGAAATTGTTTTACTCGATTAATTAGCATCAAAATGTCAATATAGAGTATAACTAGTCTATACCTTCTAGGGACCCGCGTTTCGCGCTGAAGTTAAATTTCTTGATTTTCTTTCAAAATGGATTCATCGGATATTTATGGCGGTCCTCCTTTACAAATGCCGCTAACACCTTTCGAGTTTGTTAAACAGCCGCGTGTTGTATTGAAAATAGTAGTCATGGTTAGTGTCATTTTTTGTTTACCTTGGTTAACAATTTTCAAACCCACAATTTGTTCAAAACTACGAAATTCGACTTTTGAATTAGATTGCTGTCATTTTTTGCTCAGATTTTATCGCATCCTACGCCATTTTGCGTATTCACACTCGGCTAGCATCATGTACCCTTTTCCTGTAATTACAAACCCCTAGAAGCAGGACATCTTTCGAAACATTGAAATTATTTAACAAATTAAATTTGCTGCTTCTTTTTATGCATATTATTTTTGTATTACTTTATAAAGCTCAACGTCTCTTATCTTTTTTAGCCACCACACTCAAAAAGTAACCTAGTGTCTGTTTATTTCATTCCCAATGCATTTTAGCTGTTTTAAATTCATAGTTGGTGTTTTTTTTTTCATTTGTTTTCTAAAGGAAAAAATTAATGTGAATCTGATGTGTCTTAAATTTGTGCTGTTTGTCGTTTTTTACAATATTTATTATGCTTTAGATCATCTCAGTTATCGGGCTAGGCTGTTCAACCAACGGTTGCATGGTTAATAACCATTCAATATTTAACAAGGATCCCAATGCGTGTCATTTTGGAGTGGCTGTTACTGTCCTTGCCTTTCTCATTTCCCTCATATCGGTTGTTACGGACTACATGTGTGACAAGACCGCCAACATTAAGCGACGACGCTGTATTCTTCTAAGCGACATCGCCGATGCCGGTATGAGCAATTGAGTATTTTATCTAACTGATTCTTCGTTGTCATCTATGATGCAAACGTTTAGTGTCTATGGCCAAGTCGGTACTCTAATTCTTTATTATATTGCACGGTGATGTATCTTGCAAGAAAAATGCTTACAGTCCGATATAGTAGTAGATTTTTTGGTACATCCTGCTCTCCCTCTCTTTTTACTTTTGACGAATCCTAGCAGGTTCAGCCCTAATTTAATGAAAATTTTGTTTCCTTTACACCATAAAAATCACGCGTAAATGTCTTTACCGCCCTATTTAATAGTCATTTATGGAAGGTAAACAAGTTTCCATCTTGCAATTTCTTTTGAGGAGCAACTAGTCTATCCAACCATTTACAGAAGCTATCTAATCTAGGCAGTCTGTGGTTTTATGCGAAGTTTCTAACCAGCAAAACTGTACGACACGCCTTGGTCATAGACACACCCTTTAACTCACACAAACTTGACTCGCATTTGCCTATTGGTTAAGCCCAACGTTTTCGTAACCGCAAATTTTGGAGATTCTGTTTTTCTATTACTCAAATACGACCACCTGAATGTACTTTCCTCTGCTTGTGCCTCGTCTCCTCGTAGGGCTTCTTGCCTTTCTCAATTTTGTCGCCTTCTGCTACTTGGCCAACCGCTGGTCGCACACCAACAGCACGTGGTTGGACGAGATGAATTTTGAGCACTGGCAACGGCGAAACGCGCGCTCCCTCATCTTTTTCTCCTTTCTGGCACTGTTTGCTTGGGTAAGCCGCATTTTCTGGTTGAGAGGCGTGCTGCAGGCTGCCGTGCGCGTGCCCATCTTGTGCACACGTTGCCCAGTAATCAAAAGCGACCAAATTTTTCTCTTTTATGCTAACTTCAACAGGAATCGATTTGCCCGTTTTACCTTGATTTTCGTAACTTGCTACCACTAGAGATTTTTATTTTAATTTACCTTGGAATAAGGCATCGTTTAACATTAGTACATATCAGCGTTTTCGTGCAACATGCATTAGTTGCGTGGCATATTTCAATTAGAATCTATTTTTAATCGTCCATTTGCAAGTCCCCATTCAGGTTTCCGTCTTGGGCTACATAAAGATATAACAAGGGACTGCTACCACAAATTCTGCCATTGTACTGATCTCTTTGAATTTATATCGCTTAAAATTGTGAATTTATTTATTTGATAACTTGTCGTAGCATTTATTTGACCCCGCTCACAAAATTGATTGTTGCCAAACGCTTGCTCCTGTCTCCTTAGCCTTTACTTTCGTCTACACTGGAAAACCCAGTTAATGCCTATAACAACTTGCAAATGCTGCAAAACCACTAAGCGTAACATTCTGCCCACTTTTGGACTGAGAGCAGAAAGTCACGCTTGTCTCAACGATGATTGGCTTCTCGTTGTCGTTGCCTGGCTAGTGCGACTTTTGCATCCAACGTTTCTATTCGTTACGTACGTTTGGCCATTTTTTAAAATCGCAGATGCAAAAATGCGATAGTTTTGGTGTGTTCGCCTAGTTTGCTGCGCTGAGCAGCCACTGCCGCCATAACTTTATGGTACGCCTTGGTCATAGACACACTCCGTCAAATTGCACGAACTCCACTCGTCACTGCCTATTGGCTTAGACCAACGAAATCGAATTGCTGCACAGTGTGGATTTGTGGCGCTGAGTCATCACGTCAAGTTCACGACTTCCTGGATCCCAGGTCTTGAGTAAGGCAACAGTTGCGAACCCAGTTCAAATTGGGGCAGGTTAGAATGTCGACAGCTGATTCAACACCTGAGAATCTATTATGTTTTGGATAGGGGAG